ATTGCGTAATTACAGAAGTAACTTACGTGAGTGGCATATTCTTTTTACATGAAACAATTAAAGACTTGTCACTTTTTATTTCTAAAAAGAGCTATACTATGGCTTTAGTTAACAGTGTATTTTTGGTTAGACAAACAGCTCTGGATTTCCCACTGAGACTCAAATGGAATGCTTTCTTGGTTGCCTTGGCACCTTCAGAGGTTTTTGGTGCAGCCCTTGCCTCCAGGAAGGAGCTTCCCAGTGACTGGAGAGGCAAGATGGACTGGCGATTGAGGACTTGTTCCCTGGAGCCAAGCCACCTGGGTTCGGGTCCCCATTTTACTAACTGCTGGCCAGATGACCAAGCTCCCTCCTCTTGATATCTCACTTCCCTCATCTGTCTACTGCAAAGGGTGGCTGTGAGTGGAATGGAATGCAGCATAAAGCATTAGCTGTTACTATTCTAAACGGGGCGGGAGGGAGGATAGCTATAGCTCAGTGGTAGAGTGTGTGCTTAGCATGCATGAGGTCCTGGGTTCAGTCCCCAGTACCTCCATTAAAAAAAACAACAAAATAAAATAAAAAGATGGGATGCCTGTCTTTATGCAGATGTCACCATTAACAGGGCAAGGGGCAGCCTTAGAAGAACTGAACCATTTCTCCAAAGGAGACATACAGATGGCCAAGGGGTACCTGAAAAGGTGTGCAACATCACTCATTGTCAGGGAAATACAAATTAAAAGCACAGTGAGAGATCACCTCACACCTATTAGATTGGATGTCATCAAGAAGACGAGATAACAATGTTGGTGAAGATGTGGAGAGAAGGGAACTTGTGCACTGTTGGTGGGAATGTAAATTGGTGCAGCCACTATGGAAAACAGTATGGAGGTTCCTCAAAAAACTGAAAAGAGAGTTACCATGTGATCCAGCAATCCCACTCCTAGGCATATACCCAAAGGAAACGAAATCAATATTGAAAGGATAGCTGCACTCCCATGTTCATTGCAGCCTTACTTACAATTGTCTGTTCTTGAGCAGGAGACGTAGCTGAGTATCTGGAAGGGACTGAGAGAGGGTTTTGTGCCCATTGGTGGCCTTAGGTTTCTCCTGGGACCCTCAGTGCCCTTGTGAGTGAGAGGAGGGGACTGAGTGCCTTTCTCTGGGCAAACTGGTTCCCAGAGACTATTTACTGCAACTCTGATAGATGTTAAGAAAAATCACCCAAATTTTAGGAATAGGAGTGTGCAGTGTGTACTTTCAAAGTTATTCTTAGGTATAGTTCAAGCAGCCCCCCTGAGGATTTCTTTTTTTTTTAATGTATTTTTATTGAAGTATAGTCAGTTTACAATGTTGTGTCAACATCTGGTGTACAGTACAATCATATAGGAACATACATATATTAATTTTCATATTCTTTTTAGCCATAAGTTACTACAAGATACTGAATATAGTTCCCTGTGCTACACAGTATAAACTTGTTGTTTATATATAGTACTGAGGATTTCTTAATATCTAGGCAAATGTACTTTTGCTTGACGTTGCTATTGGCAGTTATTCAAGGGCTTAGACTGAAGTCGTATGTCAACCTGTAGATCTTATCCAGTAGAAGCACAAATAATTTCTCCCCACTAGAAAAGATAACCCCAAAGGTTATGATTTCCTTATTGCCCAGTAGGCCACTAACCAGTTTTGTATCTGATCCAGGAATCTTAGTCTCTTATTCCTGTGGAAATGTGCATAAATACCCAGTCCCTCAAAATTCTCTTTGAAACAGCTCTACCTTCTAACTTGCTCCTTTACTGATGAATTAAACAATCTTTCACGTGTGGTTCATTATCTATTTGTGTGAGAGTCAAGTTTTTGACTTTTTGGAAATTACCCGCTGATGGTGACAGTGGGTCTATTTTTTTCCAAGTTAAGAATAACAGGCTACTACATTATAGAAAACAAACATGTTTATATCTTATCATTCAGTGTATAAAGTGCTTTCCCATATGTAATCATATTTTGACCTTGAATCTCGAGGTTGCTCTGTGAGGAAATAGAATAGATGGGGTTAGTCCCACTTAAAAGCTAAGGAAACTTAAGACTCAGACTGAAAAGGGAGGTGACTTGTCTCCCAGGTCACCCTTGCCCTAAGTGACAGTACCAACATGGCCCCAGAGTGAAGCCAGTGGTATAGGCTGATTCCCCTTCCTGTCTCTGCCTTCTACACCTACCTATCCTGGTGAAATCTGGTTAAAATGAACATCAAGAACAGCCCCTAAATGGAAAGACACCCAGGTAGGGGCAGCTGGATGGGGTGTTGAAACAGGGAGGGCCACTCCGGCGGCTTTGCCTGTGTGTACTTGAGTGCAGTTGGCAGCCCCTCTTCCTCCTCTGCCACAGCAGCAGCTCACTCCTCATGGGCCAGGGCTCCCCGAGTCTGAGTCCCCAGACCCCTAGGGGCCATCTTTCAATGTAGTAATAGGGCCCACAGCGATTAGCAGTATTTCAGAAAGCTTAAGGGCGATCATACATCTCCCCATGACAGGTCTGCCCAGACTAAATGAAATGTCATTTCTCTGCTTTTGGCTGGAATTCCGTCAGCTCAGTCTGGCTGGACTGCTTATCTTGGGCTGATCAGGAGCCCTGATTGGACCTTATAGGCATCCTTGACAAATAAAAATGAATTATTACTTAATAAATACAATTGGTTTGGCAAGTATGGCCTTTCAGAACTTGGCTCCGTGGAGTTCCAAAGAGCCTAACAGAAAGGGTTCTCAGTGGCACGGAGGTGGGGGCCCGCTGGCTCGTCCAGGACCAGCTCTGGCTGGGTCCCCTCTCCCAAGAAACAGAACATGGTGGCCCCGGGACACCCGACATCTCAGCCTGAGTCTGAGAACCTGACACAGGGCAAAGTTCTGTTTCTGATGCCAACAGACACTGAGTACTGGGCCTTCCTTTCACCCAAGGAAAATGTCAGGAGCTGGAGGGGCTGGTGTGGGGACAGGGTGACACAAGTCTAGGCGTCAGGACTTTAGATAACCTCTTTAATCCTAGTCTGCCACCCTCCCGGGAGTGTTATGAGGAATCAGGGGCACCTAGGAGAGGTCACTAGGTTCCAAGCACCGTGATTTTCTCATTTACCCGACAGTAGCCCTTGAGAGTGGCACTACTGTTATTTCCATTTTACTAAAGCTAAGAGTATAAGTAGCTTGTTTAAGGTCACAAAGTTCAACTGAGAAGTGCAGAAGTCGGCGTGAGCCAGTGTAGAGTAGCGGTTACTAGAAGGCCGTGGGGTCACACCTGGTTTGAATCCTGGCTCCACATCTTTTCAGCCAGGTAGCTTGGGGTAAGTTGAACCTCGATGCATCTCAGCTCCTCATCTGCAAAACGGGGATCATAATTGTACCTATTTTTAGGGCTACTGATAAGGATGACAGCTATAGGATTATTCTTGTTGATTTAATTTGGGGCCAATTATAATTGGTTGGGATTCAGAGGAGATTAATGGCGATCTCCTCAGAGGAGATCATGTGAAGCCAGAGTCCTATACTCGCATGCTTGGCCTGTTACAGGCAAGGGGATGCACAATAGAGCCAGTCTATGATATGTAACTTATATCTCAAAAAAGCTGTTTAACAACATAGAGCCAGTCCCTGCCATCTTGGGAGCTTATGATAGTGGGCTAGATGGTCATAATCAAATAATAACATGAAGAGTGTGCTAGTAAAAGAAAAGTACAGCATTTTATGAGAGTGTATAGCAGGAGAACCTCATTTAGTCTAGGATTTCAGGAAAGGCTTCCCCAGGGAGGTGATGCTCAGCTGGGATGGGAAGGAAGAGAGGAGTGAACCAGATGAAGGCGAAATGGATCAATGCTCCTGGAATATCACATGTGAAGGCCCTGAGGTAGGAAGGCACAGGGATTACTGGAGAATAGAGAGAGCAACTATGACTGGAATGTCAGTGTGGTACAAGATGAGACCAGGGAGGGAGGCTGAGCCTGGTCGTGCAGGACTTTGTAGGCCAAGGAAAGAACTGCATCTTTGTCTTAAGACCCTAATCCTGTGTTCCCAACCCCACGGGCCCCAGCTCCCCTACTCTGGCTGGGATATGTTCGTTAGTGACTGTGGGGTCCAGCCGAGGCTGAGGGATGCCAAGGGCAGTGTGTGTCCTGGGGCATCAGCTTTCTGGGTTGAGCATCTCTTTGTCGCATGGAAACCCATCAGCAGACCATCTGTGGGCCTAAGTCTGGCTCTATTCAGCAGCTGTTCCCTGGCTGGGAAGAGGCTTTTAGCTTTAATAAAAAGGGAGTAGAGATAAGGAGGCTGCCTCGGCAGGGAGAGCAGCAATGACAGGATGATTTAAACGGCCTCTCCAGTGTCATTTCTTCTGTGCAGACATCATAAATCAGATCAGCATTGGGCTCTGGTGGGGAGGGGAGTGGGGAAAGGGGCCTGCAGGGAGAAGGGAGAAGAGTTTGTGAATCTGAGTCCTCCTGGGACTGGCCTGGAGCTGCTGGGGCAGCCCCAGAGGGTGGTGGGGTCACCTCTTCCTGATCCTCAACCCCTAGCCTTGTTCTTTGGAGAAGGGGTAGGTAGCATGACCCTCTACCCCCAACCCAGCTTTCCAGCCCATATTCATTTTTGAGGAAAAAATGAAGTGGGACTGGTAAGAGGGAAGAGTAGAGGGGCAAGTGTGGGAGGTGGGAATTATAGCCTTTGGAAAAACCAGAAGCAGTGATTCTCCTACCTTGCCATGCATTAAAATCGCCTTGGACATTTAAAAAAAATATTGATGCCTGGGAACCACCCCCAACATTTCTGAGTTCTGGGTGAAATCTAATGTGCAGCTGAAGTTAGGAAGAGCTGGATGAGCATTTGTCTTAAACTCAAGAACTACACAATCTCAGTCTCCCACCATGACTGCTCAGGCCTTGTTCATGAAAGTGGCCAGATCGAGGGACCAGTGTAGAAGTCTCTGAGGCAGGGGGTAATACAGAATAACTCCCACCCGCCTCTCTTCTCTTTCAGATCTCACGCCACCTGGGCAAGATGTACAGTGAGATGATCTTTGTCAACGGCTTTGTGCACTGTGACCCCCACCCGGGCAACGTGCTAGTGCGGAAGTGCCCGGGCACAGGGAAGACAGAGATTGTCCTATTGGATCACGGGCTCTACCAGGTAGGAGAGTCTGTTTCCACCCAGCCAGACCTGTGGTCTGGTCCTGCCTGGGCTTGGAGCCAGCTGAACTCCCCTATTGGCCACAGAAATGGGAGGCAGATAGCAAACTGGAGAGGGCCCCGCCCTACCCCTAGAGCTGTCCTTTAGTGCAGGTCACAGTCATATGAGCTCTCTGAGCCTTAGCTTCTTCCTAATAGACTGAGAATGATAACACCTCCCTTAGAGGTTGCTGTCAGGAGTAGATGAGATTGTGCCTGGATGTCTGTGCAAAAACCAGCTGCAAAAACCCCTTCTTCCTAGGGAAGCCCAAGCCAGCCAGACTGTGGGAGGTGAGATGCCCTTAGATGAGCTAGGACTCCAGGTGGAGGGGTAACTCAGCCCCAGTGAGGAGGTTATATATACTAGGAAAGGGCACAGGGAACTGATAGAGATTGAATGGCCCCAACTCTGTCTTCTGGAACTTGAAATGTAGATCTGGTTTGAAGAGCCACAAGTTCCTGCCTGGAAGTTGAGAAGTTCATTGCCAATCCCAGGACCCAGGGCCTGGCTTGATTCTGTGAGGCATGAAGGAAGGTCTCTTGCTCTTCCCCCTCAGGGCCCTAATCCAGCATTGCCATATCTAGGCCTCCTTTGAAAGGCTCATTGACATGAGGTGTGTTAGTTTAAGGTCGGCTAGCTGTTGTCACACAAAGCCCCCAAATGGTTGATGGGCAAGACACAACAGATGTCTAATTGCTTGCCCACAGACCTATCTGGGGTGGGTGAAGGAGCCCGAAGGCAGGCGCTGACTGAGCCTGTCTCTCCCAGGCCTCCCTGGGGGTCTCACCATCCACCAGCAGTAGGGATAAGGGCTTGGAGGAGTGCGTATGGGGAAGTTTCCACGGTCTGGGCCTGGAAGTGGAGCTTCTGCCACATTCCATCAGTCAGAGCTCAGGCAGAGGGCCACATCTAACCAGGAGACAGGCGGGCATCATGGCCTGTGCTGGGAAGAAGAGGGGAGTATAGATTCTGGTGGGCCGTTGGTAGTCTGCCACTCAGGACCAACCCTAGCCAAATAGTAGGTCTGAACTTGGACCTTTAGGGATGGCTGAACTGTGTGGGAGAAGCCAACATTATGCGGGAGCCATGGTCTCCATCCGTCCCTTACGTGGTGGTCACACCAGCCAGGGACCAGGTCCATGGGGAGAGGTGGCTCAGTTCCTGCCATGCTGCCCCTGCCATAGGTGCTCACAGAACAGTTCCGCCTGGATTACTGCCACCTCTGGCAGTCACTGATCTGGACTGACATGAAGAACGTGAAGAAGTACAGCCAGCGCCTGGGAGCCGGGGACCTCTACCCCTTGTTCGCCTGCATGCTGACAGCCCGGTCCTGGGACTCAGTCAACAGGGGCATCGGCCAGACTCCAGTCACTGCTACTGAGGTGGGTGAGCTTGCCCTGCCCCCAGTGCAAGGGGCAGGGCTGGGGATGGCCTTTGGAGCCCTGCCAACCCAGGGTTTGAGGTCCTAGACTAGGGGGCTGTGGAGGTGTGGTGGGGGGCAGAACGGGAGATGTATTGGATGAGTCGGAGGGAGGGGAGGAGAATCGGTGTCCCTGGATGGGCAGAGGGAAAGGGAATGGTGTCCTACTCTGTCCCTCCCGGCCTTGTCAGCCTGGAGTGTAAGTGGGTCATGTTAACTGTATAATCCAGGCTCTGTGACTTTCACTCCAGCCTGCTTTCATGAGATTTCAGCCTTCCACCAAGTTGTCTCCCAGGACTTTTGGGAATGCCCAGGAAATAAGTCTGGCACCACCCGCTGTCGCCTGCGGGGCACCATCTCCCATCACGGGGTTCCTCTGGGACATCCTACTGGGGAGAGGGCTTCACTCCCTCATGCTGGACTCGAGGGCTGCTTGTTTCATTGTCCAATGAAGTTTTTTGAGAGACTGCTTTTTCAGTCTTTGTTTGTAGGTTTTTCCTCCATTGGATCTGGACAAGAGTCCCATGGAGTCTGGGCTGAGACTGATCCTAGGAACCCCTTCTCCCCGGACTCAGCCTCACTTCTGCCCCTACAGTAGGGACTTATAGGGTAGCTCATTCTTCCTGGCTCAGGGTGAGCTCCCTCCCAGGCTTCTCAATCCCTCATGGAATTGCCGCCTGTCTTCCCAGTCTGTCAGTTTGCCAGACCTGTGCAGACTTGCCCATATCCATGTGGGGAAGGGCTGTGCTCACAAGGGACAGGGTCCTGCTTGTGCAGTTGGAAAGACCTGGATTCTAGTTCCAGTACCTGCTTTTCCTGGTAGCGTGACCTTGGATGGTTCGCATCACCTGTTTGAGCCTCAGCATCCTCCCCTGCAAGCTACCTTGTGGTGGAGGCTTTAGGAAAGGCTGGGTCCAGAGTTTCCAACAGTGTCACCAAACAGGCCATCTCTTGCCATCTCTTGGCTCTGCTTTCCTCCAAGTTGACATCTTTCCCCAGCAAGCCTGATGGCATAGATACCACCACTGCCCAGGCTTACATGGCTCTCAGCTCATCGTCTCAGAAGAAGAGAGACAGCCTCCCTCCTTTGTTGAGTAGGGATGATAATTCCTGCATTATCAATAATGCATATAAAGTGCCTCCCCATAGTCCCTGAAATTTGTTCATTGAACAAACATTTGTTTTTGCTGGACCCTGGACTGGGTGCCTGTGGACCAGTGATGAACAGACAGTCAGGCCTTCCATGTAATTTGCACTGTGGCAGACGGAGACAGACAGTAAACAAGTGAACAAACAGGTAAATGGAATAATTGCAGGTTGGAGGTGCCAGGGAGGAAACAAGCCGGGTGCCGTGATGGGGGTGGCAGAGGAGACCTGGCTGGGGTATTGACATGTAAGCTGAGGCCCAAAGGACAAGAAAGCCACCAGCTACTAGAAGAGCCTGGAGAAAGTGTCCAGGTAGAGGGCACACGATATGCTAAACGAAGCAGAGTTAGGGGTGGTCGGGAGCATGTGCAGAGGATGGTGGACTGAAAATCTAGAGCACTGGGCAGGGAGAGCACAATGGGAAGAAGTTCAGATTTATTCTCAGTACAAAGCAAAGCCTTTGACAGGTTTTAAGCAGGAGAAAGATATGCTCAGACTTGCTATTTTAAGTATGTCTCTGAACTGGGACAAGATGAGCAGTGGAGTGATGAGTGAGGGGGCTGGGGCAGGACTCCAGGTGGACAGATGATGGGGCTCAGACTATGCTAATGGCAGTGGAGGTCGAGAGAAGCAGTTGCAGCCAAAGTGTGCTTTGGACCTAAGAGTGAGAGGCCTTTCTGTTGGCTTGGACATGAGGGGAGGAAAATGGAAGGGTCAGAGTTGTATCATAGCTTTTTGGGGTGAGTTATGGGGTTGAGGGGTGCCATTTCCTGACATAGGGAAGACTTCAGCAAGGACATATTTGGGGTGGGGGTAGTCAGTATTTCTCTGGAATATTCAGCTAGAGACATCTCAAAGAAGAGATCCAGGCTTGAGTTATAAATTTGGGAGTCCTCAGTGTGTAGATAGTATTAAAGCCACAGGAATGGACAAGACCACACGGTACATAATAGGTACTTCGTGAATGATATCTTGTTTCTAATTTAATTTTATTTATTTGTTTTTTCATTGAAGTATAGTTGATTTGCAATGTTGTGTTAGGATACCTGTTTTTTGTAACTTGGTTTGAATTCTATTTTTCTATCAGGTAGGCATCCTGCAGGGTCCAAGCTTGAAGGCTATGCAGCTCTGAGAGCCCCTTGGGGTAGCCTGGGTGGACACAGGTACTTCTGTTTGAGCCGAGAGGGGTTGTGGCCAGGCCAGTCTGACCCTACTGAGAGGGGGTCCTTCTGGTGAGTGGGACCCTGATCTGGCCTTAGCCTGCAAGCAGGGTGACCTGCAGCTGTAGAGGGAGGCAGCAGGGAGGCAGGCAGCCTCTTGGTGTCTGGCTTCTTGTTGAGATGTTCCAGTCTGATAGCTCCTGCCTGGGGGATGTTTCAGGTTTCACAGCAGCTTAGTTATCAGCGGTGCACATGTGCTTCTGAAAGGGCCAGGAGTTCTGCCTCTGCTGCAGAAAGTGCTGGATGGGGGATCGTATGGCAGCACTGCTGGTCCCCTCACTGTGACTTGTACTGGACCCAAGCGCCAGCCCATACCTTGTCTCTGATGACCCTCTGGGTACTGCTGAGAGGTGGGCACAGAGGGTATTTGCATGCCCAGTTTTTATGGGAGGACACTGGGTCACACAGTCCTCTGTGAGATGAGACGCAGTGTAGCCTGATGGTGAGGGTGAGGGCTTGAGAGCTGGACGGCCTGGGTTTGAATCCTGACTCATCCTTGACTAGCTGTGGACCTTGGGGAGGTTACTTAACTTCTCAGTGCCTCAGTTTCCTTCTCTCCAATGGGGGTATACACTTGGTTAATAGGGTTGATCTGAGGATTAAATAAGTTGATACATGTAAGCATTTTCAGAGTGTCTGGCTTACTTAGTAATGCTCAATACATGTGAACTATTGTCATTGTCACCATCACTGTTTCTCTGGAGAGTGAAAAGGAATCAGAGCCGCACTGTATACTCAGGACTCTGGCTGGGGTTGGTTATCTGCCCCAGCACCATACAGAGCTCAGAGACGGGGAGGGTTGGGAAGCCAGTTCCCAAACTTACACGCCAGGACAGGGCAAGGGCTAGTCCTGAATCCTACTCCAGGGGCATTAGGACCTTGTGCCGTGGGTGGGCTGACACTGGCTCCAGCATGGAGGACAGTAATAGGTGGTGGCCGTGTGAGTAGGTCTTCTAGGGAGTAGGGTCAGGCAGGGTATGGGGTTGGACTTTGGAGCTGGGTTGGGGTCAGGAGCTCAGACCTCTGAACTGCGACAGCCTGGGTGTGGCTGAAGGAAGGGGGGAAATGACTCAACCAGTACCAGCCTCCAAAGTTCCTTCCAGGCCTGACCTAAAATTGGTGGCCAGCAAAGAAGCCTTAGAGAATAGTGCACGGGTAGACCTCTGAACTGAGAGACTGGCTAACTCCAGCCTCATCAAATGGCTGGTGGGGAGATAGACTTCCTGCCCCAGTCAGTACAGGGGGCAGGAAGGATGGGTACTGGTGTCCTTGGCCACAGTGATCTCGGAAGGCAGAGGCAGCAGAAATGCAGCCTGGCCCCTGTTGATGTGCTCCTGCGCTGCGTCCAGTGCTTGGCTGGCATTTGGGATGGGACGTCCCATCCGGGTTTATCAGGCTGCAAAGCTTCTTGGGCTAAGCTTCCCTGTGGGAATGGTGCCGAGGCAGCTGTGCTAGAAGCTCCTTCCTGGAGCTTCCTTGCAGACCTTCAGGTCACGGGCTGCCTGGACACCCACCACCCTGGGCCCCAGTTCCCACATCAGCCGTCCATCTTTGTCTCCTTGTTGCTGCTTCAGGACTCAGAGATTCGCAACAATGCGGCCAACTACCTCCCCCAGATCAGCCAGCTCCTCAGCCACGTGCCACGCCAGATGCTGCTCATCTTCAAGACCAACGACCTGCTGCGCGGCATTGAGGCCGCCCTGGGCACCCGTGCCAGCGCCAGCTCCTTCCTCAACATGTCACGTTGCTGCATCAGGGCACTGGCCGC